CATTAGAGCGTAGAAACTGTAACTATAAGTATCTGAAATAAATATGTGTACTGAAACAAATACCAATTACTGTATTGCATTGTTTTCTTATGCGCAATTACTTCATACTGTCTTTGTCTTTTTCCTCCTGCATTTATTGTGCCCCAGCCTGCCCCCCCCAGTCAAATTGGTCTAGAACCGCCTCTGCCTACAGTACACCGCAACACAACACATGTGTACCAGCCCCTTAAACAGTGAAAAGTAAGAAGAATGTGCAACAACTAAAGTTCAGATTGATAAAGATTGAGTAACATTACAGTCGTCATTGTTTTGGTCATTTAAATTACCTTTCCATTTTTAAATTGAAAAGACGTTATACATTGTTGTCACACATCGTTATATTTTATACTTTATTTATATCAGACAAACTTTTTCCCACAAAAACCATGCCTTTTCCAAAGTAATGTATCACACATTAGGAAACAGTGGTGATATTCATTGTTCTACTGTTGAGAAATCTGCCCAAAGTAGTTAGCATAAATGCCATTAGTTTGAAAGAGGATATATTTGTTGTTATTCATTACATTTTCTTAAATATTATTTAATTGTTATTTTGAAAACAGTGCTTTACACATTTTCTAGTTTTTGAACTTATGTTACTTTAGTTTTTTATGAATGACTCGAGAAATATACCTTTTAAAATGTTTTAGCATTTTCCTTTCGATAGCTAAGCAAGTATACCCATGAAAGCATTTTTATTATAATATTGCAGTCCCAAATCGCAATGTTGTCCACAATAATCCCAATATAACTTTTACGTGCAGCCTTTCTGTTTTTGTAATTATTTTACACCTTGATGCATTAAAAATGAAAAAGACAATCGTAAGCTTTTAAATGCATTTTATTATATTGCGAATAAAGTACATTGATTAGTTAGTTGGGAAAGTACGCAACATTGTCTCTGCCGTAGTAAACTGGGAAGCCTTCTTCACATCTGAATGCAATTTTAGTGGTGAGGCTTTGACCTTGGTACTGACAGTGGGGTCTACGGGCCCCTTGGTTCTTCAGACTGCAGATGACAATGTCGAAGGGTTGGAGGCTTTCGGTATAAACACCATATGGCTCTCCTGCAAGCCGACATACATTATTGACTCGGTCGGTGTTTGCTAGTACGAAGATATGGTCATCTTTACACCTGTTACTGTCAGCTTTGGCGATCCCTCTCTCCTCCATCACCTGGTCACAACTGTTTACATCCATGCTCCCGATGATGTGCTGATTTTTAAACTTTATGAAAGGCTCATTCTGAGAGCTCACTGTAGCAGAAAGCAACAGCAAACAAGCAAATGAGATCCTCATGATTCCCTGGTGAAGAAAAAGAGGGAAAAACTTTTGTTAGAGAATGAATGGCAGCATAAATGAGTACTTATTATAATTAATATTTCCCATGAGCAATAACATTTTATGAGACGTGGTGTTGTAGCATCACCACTGTTATCAAATTATACTTGTTTCAAGTACTCAACACGATGAAATGTAATTATATTCAAATACATTTTATGGTTGTTTTTCTTTTTATATTGTCCTATATTTAAAATATTTGTTGGACATATTGTTTGTTGAGATTAAAGGTGTCTTATCTTAAGTAAGAGTGTTGCTAAAAAATACTTTTTTTGTATTTATCTTTTACGTGTTACAGACCTGAGGCCTGTACTACGAAGCTGGATTTTCGCTTAGCCGGCTAAATTTAGGGAAATCTCGGGCTTTCCGGTCCTACGACGCTGGTTCTCTTTTTAGCAGGCTAGATTTCCATGGTAACTTATGCTGAGCGGCAAACCTGCTCCGGAGCAGGTTAGGTGGCAGGTTAAGAGATCAACTCAGTGAAAGCACCGCCTGCTGACCAATCAGAGCTCCGTGTGCGGAGTTTAAAGCGATCAATTCATATTACAGGATAGAGGAAATACAGAAAAACTGCCGTTGCAGGAAAGACGTCCGGCCAAAATCAACTGACTGTGTGAACGTGAAAATTAATAGAATATCCCCTCCCATCTTCAGAGCAATCTGACTATTATAATATTAGCGTTAAGAAAGCTTACTTAAATATCTGCCCCGACATAAGTAACCGGATCAGAGTAACATTAAGTACAGTCCGCGGCACTGTGAGTGCAGACGTCGATGTGTCCCATTATCATTCATATCATATCACATCATAATGTATCATATATTTCCTTATTTGAGTCAGCTTCTTGAGCCGTATCTGGCCGTGCAACACTCACAGTGTCACATACTGTATGCAGAAATATTATTTTAAGCAACACATTAAGTTGATGAAACACTCGAGTCAAATTCTCCTAATTAAAGTCAGATCGTGTCTTAGGCGCCGTTTACACGAGGAGAAAACGGCTTGTATCTGCATAGTTTCGTTTGCGTATAGCCCTATTATTTAGACGAGGCCGATAGAAACTGACCACACAAACGATAACGGGTCCCAAGGTGGATAGATTTGCAAACGAAACGCTCTGGGGGGTCAACCGAGTCCGTTTAATCGCCTCTATACGAATATTGCCTGAAAAAATAACGACAGCCCCGCCTCTTCGCACCTCTCCCCACCTCTCCCCCGCCTCATTGCTGATTTGTTTCTACAACAACAACAACAAGAATGGCGGATCACAGGGTTGCTGTTGTGCTCCAGACGCTACTGACCATGATTAATATGTTAGTGCTACAACTACGGTGCTTCTACGACAACCACAAGCAACTAGTGGACATGAAGAACCACATACACGACATGTGGCTAAATCCACCGCGGAGAACAACCAGAAGGGCGACCAGGAGAAAGTTTTGGGTAAGACCGGGCAGAACTAGCAGTTGGTGGGACAATTTTGTCAATGGCGTTGTCGTGGACGATGAATGGAGGGAGAACTTCCGCATGTCCAAAGCCTCTGTCGTTGCCCTGACTGAAGAACTGCGCCCATATATCGAGAAGAAAACTACAAACATGAGGGCGCCAATTGATCCACTGAAAAGGGTTGCTGCGGTTCTTTATTACCTGAGCGACGAGGGAAGGCTACGGAAGACTGCTAACGCCTTCGGAGTTTCCCGCCCGTCTTTGTCCCTCATTATTAGGGAGACATGCAGAGCGATCACCATCCACCTGGGTCCAAAATACATCAAGCTGCCTTTTACTGAGCCCGAGACCGCGGATCTGGTTGAGGGGTTCCATTGTACACATGGCATGCCACAATGTTTAGGAGCAGTGGACGGAACCCACATCGAAATCAAGCAGCCATCTAACGACTCCACTAGTTACATCAACAGGAAAGGAAAATATTCCTTTAATGTACAGGCTGTCTGTGATTACAGGTACCGATTCATGGATGTCGTGGTAAAGTGGCCTGGGAGTGTGCATGATGCACGGGTCTTTGCTAATTCCAAGCTAAACATGTACTTAAAAACTGGAAAGATCCCTGCTCTGAAAAAACAGATTGTGGACGAAGAGGAGGCCATACCAGTTTATCTTCTTGGTGATCCTGCCTACCCGCTGCTGCCGTACCTGATGAAGGAATATGCATCCGGTGGCTCCACAGCTCAGGAACAGTACTTTGGGCTATCTCTGTGTAGGGCACGTATGGTCATTGAGTGTGCTTTTGGTCGCCTCAAGGCCAGATTTGCTGCTCTTAGAAGGCCTATGGACATAAACATGAATGACCTGCCCCATGTGATTTATTCCTGCTTTGTCCTCCACAATGTTTGTGAGGCCAGTAATGACGCTGTGGATGATCAGTCTGTGTTGGGAACAATGCAAGCTGAAATGGACTTACAGCCTCCCACACAGTGCAATGGCTATCTCACTGACTGTAATGAGGGGGAGGGAAAGAGAGTGAGGAGAGTGCTTACGGCGTACATTGACCCTTAGGTCAACTACATCAAAGACAGACTGTACATTTTTTTTAAAGGTGTTTATTAAGATGTGATAAACATTCTTTGTTACATTCCCTGTCCTCACTGTGCAGCTCCTTCAGCGACAGGCTGCTGTACAATATTCATATACCTGGCTAGGTATATGTACCTGGCTGCTAAATCTGAGGACTGTTACAGGATTTTTTGTATTATATCCTAACTGTTTTTAGTACTTTTTAATGCATGTCACATGTGTGAAACTAAGCAAATAACTATGTGATTCTCCAATGTCAAAAGTGTGAAACTAAAAATAAAATTGGCTGCAACCACTTCCAGACTTTCTTTGAACTTAATGTGCAACAAATGTCATCATCCTCATGAATGAAGTTATATGGCCCATTCTACCGAGTCAGGTTGTCCATATATATTTTGTACCGTATTTATTTACACATATAGTAAAAGAACCGTACATTTTGATATGGTATTTTCAGACTGTATTGGCCACTAGCGAAACATAGTACATACACTGTAGTAAAAAACTATTATATTAACCTGTTAAGATTGTGTTACCTTCCCTTCTCTAAATAGTATTTTAACCAATATTTGAGGATTTTCAGTAAAAGTAATATAAGCAAATGTTGAATCAAAGTTGAATTTATACAATTCATAAAAATCATAATGCAAACTTTCTTTGTGAAATGCATAATACTGATCATATTGATTCCAGAGATGAAATAGAAGGGAATGAGGCTATAATGGGTAATTTTTTTGGTATTTTGAGCAAAACACTTCATAGATATGTTTTTTATATATCTGAGACTATAATATATGCCTAACAATAGTTTGGGCTTTACCATTAAGGCCCAATGTGACATATCACAGTTCAGATATTTGACACTAGGGGGGGGTTACTTTTCATAAATGTGGTGTATTTAGTCAAAATTAGGTTTACAAGGTGAAAAGGACTTACAGCCTCCCACACACTGATATAGATATCTCACTGACTGTAATGAGGGAGAAGGAAAGAGAGTGAGGAGAGTGCTTGCGGAGTACATTGACCCTTACATGAAAGACAAGACTGTTCTTTTATTTTAATAAGGTTTTTTATTAATAACATTATTTATAAATGTGTACACAGTAAAAGGGAAAAAAATACCTTTGCTAGCTAAAAAAAAAAGGCTTAAAAAAAAAGTGATTCTCCATTTGTACAAAGTCTGGTGGAGTTAAAAATAAAAATGTTTACAGACTTCCTTTGACCAAAAAGTGCTGTGAAAAAAAAAGAAGCTCACTGCTTTACTGCTCCTCCTCATCCAGTGACCGCCTGAATGAATATGGAGGAGATTGTTGCTGTGGGGTGTGTGGTACAGAGGGGTTTCATTAGGGGTGGGTATGAGGGCACCTGGAAGTGTCCATATCCACTGTTGTTAGTATGAACTTGCATGAACTGGCTCATCAGGGAAAGGCCATTCTGTACAGTCACATTAATGTTGTCCATGGTGTTGTTCATACGATCCATGCTGGCTGCGCTGCGGCTGGTTGCTTCCTCCATTAAGTCCAACATCCGGCTTTTTAATCGCAGCTCTTCCTGCACCGCATGTTCAGCTGGAAGCTTCCTCTTCATGCGGTCACTTCTGTGGCCGTCCAGCCGTGCCTATAATAAACCAGAGAAAGTTTGAATTAATACACAATAGGACCATAGCCACCAGATAAAAGAACACAAAAGGCATGTTGTGAAATAGCTCTCAATACATTTTACAAATAAAACAGCTCTAAATACTTTCTAATTTTACCAAGCTTAAACCGGTTCAGTTTTTCAGTGGAAGGTACTGCATCATAGTATATAGCAAGCCCTTTAAGATTGAAATCATGAACATACCTGGAGCAGATCCCTGCGATGACTCACAACGGCAGCAGTTGGCAGAGTTCCGTTGGATCTACTCGACTCTGGCAAATCCGTGGAATGCTCCAAACTCGGGGATGAACTTGGTCCGGGCGACGACTCTTCCATGTCGAACAAGTCCCCCGTCTCGACGCCAGCGCTATTGGGGTGCGTAGCAGCCGATCCACCCCAGATCTGCTCACACAGCTCGAAGAACATGTAAACAACACGTCCTTGGCCACTTCGACGGCCGAGGTCCACCGCCTGCCTGTACTTAATGCGTACCTGTTTTAGTTTCGCTGTAAGCTGGCCCTGTGAAATTGTGTTCTGCTCGTGAGGGAAATCTTTTTCAGTCGGGGTCCTCGGATATTGCGCCTGAAATAAGTCGGCTATCTCCGTATATTTAGGCTTGCAGGACTCCCAGTCTACATTATCCTGTATTTTTGTCGTCTTATACTCAAGTGTTACACTTAAAAGAAGTTCCACCTCGTCGTCGGACCACGGAAATAGCTCCTTTCTTGCGCGAATAACAGCCATCTTCGTTTGTTTGTTTTGTTTGTGCCTCACACACATCCGGGGGGGATCTTATACTCGCTGCTTTTGGTGTATTTTGTGGCGGAAGTTACAGCGCCACTTACAGTCCCGCCATATGTACTACAGCTTTCGAGCGGTCTCGTGTAGAAGTACAGCGCCACTTACAGTCCCAGCATATGTACTACAGAGTTTCCAGCGGCCTCGTTTGAACAGACACGTTAAATGAAACAAATGCATGTGAACGGAAGACTTTTTGGAATACGAATACTGTGCATAAAACGCAAACGGCCTCGTGTGAGCGGGGCCTTAGACGGGGCAGTGATTTCATAAACCTGTTAATGTACGCATTCAAACACTTTTTCTTTTACCAGCTGTATTCACCTTGCAGGTGCAGCTATGTGGCTTTTTTCCTGGATAAAGTGTTTAAGTCATGGATGTTTAAAGTTTAACTTCTTCATATTTGACTAATATTAAAGTTCACTTTTCATTCAGGAAGTATGACGCTGCGCTGTCAATACGCTTGTCCGTGTTTGAGATTGGTCGAATGCTCCAAATACCACCCCTTTCATGTGAACGCGCACCTAACTAGATAGGACACGGCTGGCTTGAGCGATCCACTTGATAACCAGCGTCGTAGTACAGCTTAGCGAGAGCGCGTATGTTTTGGATTGGGCCAACCGGCTAACTCAAACATATCCAGGTTAGGTTGAACCAGCTTCGTAGTACAGGCCTCTGCAGAGAAATCGGGTAAGATCACATCCAACACAGTCATGAGGAACAAAACAAAAATCACTGTTAAACTCTTACCGACTGCTGCATTATAAAAGGGAGAGTAATAAGAAAATACAAACCTTTTAAGTTTGATGTGGAATGGTAACTGTTTTTTCCACCTTCCTTTTGTATAGTCCTTGCAGCTGAAAAGGTAGAAATAAATAAAAACAAGTTTTTGGTCATCAAGTTTGTCTTAAACATATTGTATACTAATGTTTCATAAAAGGCATATTTACTTGAATCACAAACACAGTGAAAGTGAAGTCTGTGCAAACTGCTGAATCATTTATAGGAGTTGTTTTGGACTTTGATTTCTTGGCCCAACTTCGCATTGGGGAGAAAACTCCCAAATCATCACGTTGGCCAAAGGTAAACAAAGTATTTACTGTTTGACAACATTATGCAATATAGCATTAGTCACCACACGTCCTCTGAAGTTTGACTAACTCTTTCAAACCTGCACACATGCTTCTGAAATATGAATTATTTTTGACATTTCAAGTCTTTTAAGCAAACGATTCACAAACAGTAGTGCCTCGAACAATGTCATCAATAACAATGACACAATATGAAAAGTGAAGTATTGTGTTTTTCCATTTAGTATGTTTCGCTTTACAAACAAAATAGAGAATATTGTTTACACAGTTAAAAGTGCTTTTACATTCAAATTAAACATAAGGGTTTGATAACATCTGACAGGTGTATGGGACAGAGGTCTTTCTTCCCTTTGAGGTCGATGCTTAAGAGCATTCATATGCATCATGCTGTACCTGCAAGTTAGAGATGCTGATAGTCATAAACCACATGACTCACAATAGCATGATTCACCTCCAACGTCCTGTGGAATACCACAGGTCTGTTGAGTCTGAGTGATGACGTGTAGATGTTTGGTCAGAGGGTGAGAGTATTAAAGTCACAGCTTTTATTTGTTAGTATATCAGCTGCATGTGGTTTTGCTTGTTTCCCAGACCACTGCACACATCACTTCTCAACAGTGATGCGTACACGAAAAATCTACAAAAACGTAACATTTGGAAAATTTGAATGACAATATTGGGACTCAACTACTTTTGTATGAATTAAAACATTTGCTGTATTTGACGTATTGAGCTAGTACCATTATTCATAATAGTTATTTCTAATGATATCCATAACTACTTTTGATTATTTCATGAAACTGAATTATAAAAACAGACACAAATGTAAGTGGTTAAACGGTTTATTAAGCAAGCACAGGAAAGCTTGACACACATGTATTACTTTGAAGTTCTTCACCATAGACATAACATGTGGCATTTGCTTTTGTTTCCAGAGAAACTAAGAATCACATTTTTCAGCATTGTTTTAACTTTTTTTGAAACATTCATCATAACAGGCACTATGTTTTTACAAAAGGTACGTTGTCCTTTTCAAACATGTGTCAAAAACATTGTCATGCATGCAAGAGAAGTACACATCAGCTCCATCAGTCACAGTGACCAATGTCTTTATGATAGTGCACAGGCAAGCCTTTTTCACATTTGATTATTATTTTCTTGTTCTCGAGTTGTCTACCATTGTAAGAACAGTTGGTAGGAGGGGTTGTTATTTGATCCCATTCACAGACAACAATGTCAAAACCTTTAAGACTTTTAGTCAGGCTATCAGGAAAAGGCTCTCCCTGATCCAAACAGATGGCTTCCACAGCTTCAGCATCGGATAGGATGAAGGTATTGGTCGTCTTACAGCTTTTTTGTTTGATACAATTGATTTTTCTAACTTGCATTACTTTATTACACCCACAAGGAGACATTTCTTTATCGATATGCTGTTTTTTGAATTTCTTATAACGGTTTGGGTTTTTTTTATCCAGAGAGAGCACGGCAGCCGAGAGCAGCACCAGCAGCAAACAGACAACCTGGATCCTCATTGTTGCCTGAAGAAGAAAAGCCAGGAGAAATACAACATTTAGGGAAATGGTGGTAACTGGTTGCTTGGCTTTATGCATTGCATCACTACTTTTGGTCCAGATTAAAACTGAAATAAGTAAACCTGTGTTCACAAATAATACTGAGTCTTAAGTTAACCAAAGTAAAAGTTGCACCAACAAAACAATAAACAACCACAACAGAAGACACAAGCTCTGTGTGAATACTTACTGAGACTTCGATACTGAAGAGTGTGTGAAAATAGAGGAATACTTTTCACAAGTAGGAAAGTGATGACTTCCTTTTCTTCTTTACTAGATCTTTCCGCAACAAAAGAGAATCATAAATGTTATGTATTTGTATTGCAACTTACTTAACTTAATAAATAAAACCATAAAAAAAGGATAACAAAAAGTGTATTTACCTGTATCGCAGACACTGCTCAAAGACAAGGAAATATCTTGAAACGATTGACTCTTTTATAGGTAGTGTGTTTCCTTAGTGTGTGAATACCCCTCCCCGACTAACCACGTTAACCTATGTCACAGACCAGACCCAGCCTGTCTGCATACACTCATGCTGAGCATCCTTACACCCACATCACTACCTGTTAATGCAAGTTTGAACTCCCCTCCCCTGCTGCTTCATCTAAATATAGATGAATTATGATAATGACATTTGTTTTATCTTAGGTTCAGCAAGTGGTGAAATTGTTTCTTAAAAGTGAACAAGTAAATCCACATTTGATAATGTTTTTGTTGAGCTCCATTATAAGAACATTTGGAAGGAATAGTTTAGTTTTTTCCCGTTTACAGACAACAATGTAAAGCGTTGGCGGCATTTGATCAGGTTACCAGAAGTTAAGCTTAAATCCTCAAAAAAGATCTCAATCATAAACAGGTCCATACTAAATACAAGCAAAGCGAAAGCTATTATAATCAGGTAAACTAGTGTTGTAGCACTTTGTTGCATCTCAATGTCTTACATAATTGAGACATTTAGCCCTAAATGACCTTTAGCTTTCAGATGTCTGCTAAGCTGCTGCATTTTGCTTTGGTGGTTATTTCGCTGGAAAATAAAGATAGAATGATGCAAACTTGAGTGGGGGTGGCGGGGGCACCATAGCAGGGCCCAGCAGGTGAACTGCAACCTTTCCAAGTACCAGTCCACACTAGTCTGTTCGGGGACTTGAACCGGCAATCCTACGGCTCACAGTCCAAGCCCCTACTGACTGAGCCACTGGTGGTTAGTTCCAAGGCAAATAAAGATAGAATGATGCAAACTTTCAGATGTATTGTGTTTTTCCATTTAGTATGTTTCCCTCTACAAAACAAAATAGATAATATTGCTTACACAGTTAAATGTGCTTTTTACATTCAAATTAAACATGAGGGTTTGCTAACATCTGACAGGTGTATAGGACAGAGGTCTTTCTTCCCTTTGAAGTCGATGCTTAAGAGCATTCATATACATCATGCTGGACCTGCAAGTTAGAGATGCTGATAGTTATAAACCACATGACGCACAATAGCATGATGAGAACTTAGTTACATTTTGCACGACTCACCTCTAACGTCCTGTGGAATACCACAGGTCTGTTCTGAGTGATGACGTGTAGGTGTTTGGTCAGAGGGTGAGAGTATTAAATTCACAGCTTTTATTTGTTATTATAGCAGCTGCATGTGGTTTTGCTTGTTTCCCAGCCCACTCACACATCACTTCTCAACAGTGATGCGTACATGAGGAATTGACACAATATTAAATTATAAAACATATTATGATGCATAAAAATATGGGACATAAGTACTTTTGTGTGAATTAAGATATTTGCTGTATTTGATATAAACTTAACACAAAAAGTAAGGAAATCTGTGTTTGGTAGATGATTTATTTGCAGTAACAATGCTTCTTGTCAATAAATGTTTACCGTTGGAAAACCTGTTTATTTACCTTTCAAATGGTGCCACATTTGTGAGGAACATGCATCTGTGGGATGAGCAGCAGAGCTGAGTATGTGGGTTGCGCCCAGGAAAAATGTGACAAATCTCTGCTGCCAATGCAATAATTAAAAACGTTGCACGTTCAGTTGATTAAAGCATCACAACACTTGTGCTACCTTCTGCTACAAAGGATAGAAAATAGACTCATGTCTCTTGACACAGCTTCCATCTTTTGGTATCACCTAGTTGGTTTAGTAGATTGACAAATAAATGAGGAAGTCCCCAGTGGAAACTATAACCAAATATCTGTTCTAAGATCGTCTTAAACAACCCTACGCAGCCATATCTGGAATCTATTCTTATTCTATTATAAAAAAATATTAGTAACATCTTTATCTGTAACTGTGCAGAAGTACTGGGTTTTAACTTGTTAGAAGTAAAGGCCTCTGGTCATGCAACAAAACCCAAATAGGTTTTTCAAACTTCTTGAAGAGCTTTTGAAGAAATACCGTTTTTGTTTAAAGCTTAACATGTTAGGTCAATGTATGTTCACCTTTTACTTGACATTAAAACACAAAGGTTATTTAAAACACAAGCTAAAGTTAAACAGACATCAAACAAATGTTGTTCAGTTAACCTGTTACAACAACACACTCTCACTGTCACGGTTTTGGATCGTTTTCATTTTCCACCTTTTATTTTGAAATGTTTTCCTTCTTGTGTCTTGTCTGATCCTTCTTCCTGTGTTTGCCTTCCTGTCGTTAGTTTCCCTGGTGTGTCTGATTGTCTGATTGTGTTCACCTGTTGCCCTTGTGTTTCTGCCTCCCTTACCCCAGCTGTGTCTTGTCTTGTGATTACCCCTCTCTGTATTTAGTCTTGTCTTCCCCTGTGTGCCTTGTCGGTTCATTGTCTCTCCTGTCTCCCTCCATGTTGGTCACGGTCAGTTTTTGTGCTACCTATGTGTTTCATGCCATGTTTTTGTTCAGCTTTTAAAATAAAGCTCGCTTTTGTTTCTAGACCTTTTTACCTTTTTTTGTAGTCTGCATTTGGGTCCTACCCTTTCCACACATCCTAACAGAATGAACCGACCATCTTTGGACTCAGCAGACTCTGATCGTTTTGCTCTACAGGCAGAATGTCTTGGGTACTCTCTGGAGTACATTTTTTATACTTGGAATGGCGCCTCTTCTAGACGTGGTAGAGCGGCTGCGTTGAAGGAGGCACGTCAGGAGGTTGCTCGCCAGCCCTGGCTTAGGAGCATGTTGCCTGAGTGGCTACAACTTTTCACAAGTAGTCCTGAGGACTTGTCCGAAGCCTCTAACCCTTTCCTGGGGTATGACCAGGCCTTGGGAGGCCCACAGATCCTCCAAAGAATCTCTAGGAGACGCAAGACCAAGATTCCAGCCCGTGCTCCAGTGGTTCCAGCTCCAGATCTGGCCCCAGCAGCCATTGTTCCAGCTCCAGATCTGGCCCCAGCAGCCATGGTTCCGGCCCCAGCAGCCATGGTTCCGGCTTCAGTTTCGGCTCCAGTACTGGCTCCCCGGCCGACGCCAGCCCCCCGTGTTTTGTCAGTGGTTCGGCCCACTCCAGCCCCTCGTGTCCTGTCGGTGGTCCGGCCGACTCCAGCACCTCGTCTCCTGTTGGCTCTCCGGCCGACGCCAGCCCCCCGTATCCTGTTGACTCTACGGCCGACGCCTACCCCATGTCCTGTACCGTTGGAGCCAGCCCCCCGTGTTTTGTTAGTGGTTCGGCCCACTCCAGCCCCTCGTGTCCTGTCGGTGGTCCGGCCGACTCCAGCACCTCGTCTCCTGTTGGCTCTCCGGCCGACGCCAGCCCCCCGTATCCTGTTGGCTCTACGGCCGACGCCTACCCCATGTCCTGTACCGTTGGAGGTCCCGCCGACTACTCTTCTGCCGGGGGTCCTGCCAACCCTATGTCCTGTGCCGTTGAAGGTCCCGCCGACTACTCTTCTGCCGGGGGTCCTGCCAACCCTATGTCTTGTGCCGTTGGAGGTCCCGCCGACTACTCTTCTGCCGGGGGTCTTGCCAACCCTATGTCCTGTCCTGTTGGGGGTCCCGCCGACTGCTCTTCTGCCGGGGGTCCTGCCAGCCCTGTGTCCTGTGCCGTTGGAGGTCCCGCCGACTACTCTCCTGCCGGCGGTCTTGCCAACTCCATGTCCTGTCCCATTGGGGGTCCCGCCGACTACTCTTCTGCCGGGGGTCCTGCCAACCCTATGTCCTGTGCCGTTGGAGGTCCCGCCGACTACTCTTCTGCCGGGGGTCCTGCCAACCCTATGTCTTGTGCCGTTGGAGGTCCCGCCGACTACTCTTCTGCCGGGGGTCTTGCCAACCCTATGTCCTGTCCTGTTGGGGGTCCCGCCGACTGCTCTTCTGCCGGGGGTCCTGCCAGCCCTGTGTCCTGTGCCGTTGAAGGTCCCGCCGACTACTCTTCTGCCGGGGGTCCTGCCAACCCTATGTCTTGTGCCGTTGGAGGTCCCGCCGACTACTCTTCTGCCGGGGGTCTTGCCAACCCTATGTCCTGTCCTGTTGGGGGTCCCGCCGACTGCTCTTCTGCCGGGGGTCCTGCCAGCCCTGTGTCCTGTGCCGTTGGAGGTCCCGCCGACTACTCTCCTGCCGGCGGTCTTGCCAACTCCATGTCCTGTCCCATTGGGGGTCCCGCCGACTACTCTTCTGCCGGGGGTCCTGCCAACCCTATGTCCTGTGCCGTTGGAGGTCCCGCCGACTGCTCTTCTGCCGGGGGTCTTGCCAATCCTATGTCCTGTGCCGTTGGGGGTTCCACTGAGGGTCCTGCCAACTCCACGTCCAGTATCGTTGGGGGTCCTGCCGACCCCATGTCCTGTCCCGTTGGGGGTCCCGCCGACTGCTGCTCCGCCGGGTTTCCTGCCAACACCAGATCCTGTCCTGTTGGGGGTCCCGCCGACACCTGCTCCGCCGGATTTCCTGCCAACACCAGATACTGTCCTGTTGGGGGTCCTGCCGACACCTGCTCCGCCGGGTTTCCTGCCTACACCCTACCCTGTCCTGTTGGGGGTCCCGCGGACACCTGTCCCGCCGGGGGTCCCGCCGACACCTGTCCCGCCGGGGGTCCTGCCAACTCTGTGTCCTGTCCTGTTGGAGGTCCCGCCGACACCTGTTCCACCGGGGGTCCTGCCAACTCTGTGTCCTGTTCCGTTGGGGGTCCAGTCGACACCAGCCCTTGCTCCATCCGGGATCCCATTGACACCAGCCCATGTCATGTTCAGGATCCCATCTACGCCTGTCCCGTCGGCTCCGGTTCCTGTCCGGCCGATACTGGGTCCTGCCCGGCCTCCGGAGCTGTCCCGTCGGCGCCTTCCTGCCCGGCCTCCGGAGCTGTCCCGTTGGCGCCTTCCTGCCCGGCCTCCGGAGCTGTCCCGTTGGCGCCTTCCTGCCCGGCCTCCGGAGCTGTCCTGTCGGCGCCTTCCTGCTCGTTCTTCGGGGTTGTCCCGTCGCCGCCTTCTTGTTCGCCCTCGAG